AGTTGGAGAAAGGTTGCACTCTCCATAACGTTGTCGCATTTTCAAAGATCCATTGGCAAAGGCTGTGTTCAAAATCACCTGATGGCTTTTCAGCTCAGAAGTGCCCACATTATCGAGATCTCATACTTCATCATGTATTCATTTTCCAAAATGTTTGTCATGTGTTATTTGTTCTTTTTCTCCCTTATGAATAAAGACAATCTTTTTCTCCAAATCAAATCCTTTCGAGCATCTTGAATTGAACTTAAACTCAATGATTTATCTACTTATGCAAAAGATAATCGTATATTACTGTACAAAGATTCATTGAAAAGTACAGGTACCCGGAAGCTGATCAAGACTCATGCATATATTTGAGATGGTCGAGAAGAATTTCCTGGATCAAGGATAAAAAAACAAAATATGCACATCAAATTTCAACATTTGAAGAAATCAAGACCGGGGATCGGAATTTCAAGATTCCAGACAGGCAACCAGAGATCAAGATTTCTCTCCAGAACCCCAAGATAACATATGTTGCATGTGCATTTTAGGTACACGTAAGAGCATTGCATTCACAACATCACATATATGCATAACTTTTTCAGGTTTTAGCTAGAGTCAATTTCAACTTTGCAGTGGAGGATATTGAACTCGAAGCGACACAATTTGCTCGAGAGTAGATTTCAACTTCATGACGGAGGATATCTAACTCGAAGCCAATCTTCACAATAAAAGGGTCATCCACGGTTTCAACTTCACGGGGAAGGGAATCGTGTCCACCCACAATATACAATACTTGGATTTCAACTTCACGATGAAGGATGTTCAAGTCAAGGCTCAACTTCACGACGAAGGGGCCATCCGCGGTTTCAACTTCACGACGAAGGGAATCGTACCCACACATCCGCGATTTTAACTCCACGATGGAGGATATTGTGCCATTCGGGGCTCAACTTCACGACAAAGGGGTTTCCCAATTTCAGAGCCAATTTCAACTTCACAGCGAATGATATTGGACTCAAGATAGCACAAGCTCAACTTCACAGCGAAGGGGCGGCTGACTGTCGACAAATAATTTCCCAATTTCAGAGCCAATTTCAACTTTACAGCGAAGGATATTGGACTCAAGACAGCACAAGCTCAACTTCACAGCGAAGGGGCGGCTGACTGTCAATACACTTTCCAGTTTCAGAGTCAATTTCAACTTCACGACGAAGGATATTGGCCTAAACAACGCAACTTACATTAGATTTCAACTTCACGATGAAGGATATCCAATTCCCAGGCTCAACTTCACGAAGAAATGACCATACAATTCCAACTTCACAAACAGGATGACCCAACTTCACGACGAATGAGTCATCTGTAACACATCAACACCAAAGTCTTCGGGTCAAGTTTCACCTTCGTAACGAAGTATCTTGAGCCAGAAGATAATTCAGAGGCCACTTACAAAGAATTTGAGTTCGATTTCAACTTCACAACGAAGGATCTCGTGCTCAAGATTTTTCAGTTCCGACTCAACCTCACGACGAGAGGGTCTTTTCGTGATTTAATCCAAATCAACAGATCAGCCATAATGTTGGATTTCAACTCTACAACAGAGGATATTCGATGGGAATTGAACCCTATATAGATGGTGTTAAGTTTGGATACGTGTATGTTAAGTGTGTCTTTTAATCTTTGCCCTATCCCCGTTACATGACTATGGGCAAAGAGGGGCAGCTGTAGACACACTTTTTCTAACATAAATTTATTACATATATTATATATAATACACACATATATTATTATTGTTTTATTAAACTAAATTTACATTTGTTTTGTTTCTGTATCAAGCCCAGAAGCGGACTGCACGAGGCCCAGCTGCTCCAGACCCAACTGCGTGAGCCCAAATGCGTGGGATTTCCAGAAACCCTAGCAAGCCTTCACTCCCCAGCGCCGCAAGTCCTTTGACCGAGGACTCCTCATCTTGCACGCCCCTGTCCTCGTAACAGCCACACACGAAGCTCTTGGTCTGCTCATGCTCCACGTCTCACCAACGTCGGTTTCCTCGACAACAAACCAACAAATCAAGTCAAGAAATGTTCAAGCACCAACAAGAAAAGTAGTTGAGTCCAAATCAGACTCTAAAAATAGCCAAATCTGAGGCTATAAATTACATGTAAACTAGAAAACAAGACAGACAATACACCCAGAGATTACGCACGAAATACAAGCAGAAAATTACTAGCAATTTTGAGCGAAATCGGAGCTTTTCTTTTGCAATTTTTCGAAAGAACAATAGGTAAAGTTCTTACCTTTTGATGGTTATCTTGCATGCTCATCTGGTTGTTTCACTTCCTTTTTTTTTACCCAAAATACGCTAAACACGCCGATGAACAGAGGGTTTCAAAGTTTTGGAACCCAGATTCACACCCCGAGGCTTTGTTTTTGAGGAAACTATTTAGATTTTCAAAACGAGGGCATCGAGAGCTTTAAAAAAATGAAAGCTTTTTTTTTATTTTGACGCCGATCAGCGGCAGTGGCGAGGCGGCATACGGTGGTCGTGTTCTGGGTTCTTGAAGAACCACGGCAGCGTGTTCTTCAGCATGAAGAACACGTGAGAGAGAATGAGGAACATGGGGAGGGCCTCGGCTTAGAGAATGAGAAAATGAAATTTTAAAACCAATTTTTGACTTATATACAACCCGTTAAAATCGACCGACCCGACCCATACAGCCTTAGACCCGTGTGTTTTTGTTTCAAAAGGGGTAAACAGCTCTTTGAGCTCCTCTGGTTTTAAAATCTTCTATTTTAACCCCTACAATCAAATTCAAACCCTGATTTTCTTCTAATTTGTCCCTCTATTTCATATTTTTTAATTTAATCCTTCGTTTGCAATTACTATATTTTATTTATTATTATTTTATATTTTTTCCTTGATATTTAATCAAATATATACGCATATATCTATATTTATTATTATATTATTTTATTGTATATATTATTTACTTTTTTATATATATATATATATATATATATATATATATATATATATATATATATATATACATTCTTTGTGTTTTCTTTAATATCATTACCATTTTTAGTATTCTATTATATATATATATATATATATATATATATATATATATATATATATATATATATATTATTTCCATTTTTCCTTAGGTGTTTTATTTGCATTCTTTATCTAATATATTTCTTGATCTTTCAAGGGTACAATTTAAGCAATATAAGGTAAGTAATTTGGATCGTTATTTTATCTTTTAATTTAATTTACAACTTTCTTAATTTAAGACAACTGGAAATTACACAGTACCGAAAGGGCAGTTCAAGAGTGCTAACCCTTCTTTGACTGTAACCGACTCCCGAATCCGACACATCTTTGGTAAGACGCAGATCAGGTAAGAAATAAGGTATCCGATCAACCCATTTGATTAAAATAAATGATCAGTGGCGACTCCAATTCCATTTTCCTAATCGTTTATTCCAAGTCGAAGCCCAATTCCGGGGTCCAACCGAAAGACGGTTCGCCCTTATTCCCATATGTAATGGGGTAAGGGGAAAGTAAGATAGTAGGCTGCCCCCAACGCAGGTTGAGAGCAACTTCCGTGGGAGACCTCCAAATTATGAAATGCCCTCTGTGGGACTCGATCCCACGACCTCAAGGTTAAAAACCTTGTGCTCTACCAACTGAGCTGGATGGTCATTTCCCTTAAGCAAAAGCTTTGAATCACATATTTCTTCATTTTTCTGGACATGCTCCAGTGATTTGTTTTTTTTATATAAATAATCATTATTTTTTTAATATATGAAAATATAAAATTTTATTATGTGGAAAATCTACGAGGTCATCTCTCAACTAAAGGGAATGTATCTTTTCAAGGATTTTTCACATAAATGGTTGTTTTATATTCGATAATTTTCTGTGTTTCATGTTTATTTATTTATTTTTCATCTTTGTTCATATTCATTTTTTATTTTATTTTCTGTGCAAAATTTGAGAATAATATTTCAATGTGAGGGGAATCTATGAGAAAGTCTCATAACTATAAAGGAAATGTTTTCTCGATTGTTCACACTTATTTAAATAAAAGCGAATGAATAAAAGGATCATATTTTAAATATATTTTTGAGTTTATAATTCCCAATATTGTATAATCGTTTAGGTACCAATTTTGGGCGCTGTGGGGGTGCAAATCATTCCCTACACGTAACCGACTCCCGAACCCATTTTAATCAAACTTTTGGTAAACACATACCAGCTTTTGTCTTAAAAAACGATTTTTCTTAAAATCGTTTTTGAAAGACGTTTTTAGGTGTTCGATCTACCTAACCCAAAGGTTGATGGCGACTTTTTTCAATTTAGTTCAAATTAATCCAAAATCATCAAATTTTCCAAAAATAAAATCGTAATTATTTTTAAAACGATAAAAGAATTGTTTTAAAAAAATGGTTATGACAGTATGCATAAGTTTTGCACATTAGAAGGTACTAACAATTTTTTTAGCGGCTATAGTCTCTTTTTCTGATTGGGGTTCTACTTGTTTATGTACAGTCAACTATTGGCCTCGTTAAATATATATGTGGGATAGGATCTAATTACACAGTGTAAAACTTTTTAGTACACAGATTTAGGACTGTTGGATTAGTGGAAATAGACGACTGAGAGTATGAGATTAATAGTATAAAATGAGAAGATATTTACCGAAAATTTGGGTCAAAAATCATATCCGTTTAGCATTAATTCTCGTTAATCTTATGTAATGAATGATATTTCTTATATTTAAAAAGCAAAGCTAGATTAATTGTCAAAAGTAAAGATTAAGCAGCTCAAAAACATTAGTATGGTGGAATGATACAATATAATATCCTAGTGATTGGCCGGGGTAGAATTACTCTCTCCAGTCTCCACCCCCGAGCCCTTTTTCCAGAAATACTTTACTAAAACTAAATCAACTTCAACTCAACTTGTCTACTTCTGATACACACTTCTTTTACCTAAGGTGTTTCCTGATTCTACTAATCCAGCACTGCAGGACATGAGGCATCAGGAACCAGCAGCATGAAATTTTTGATGAATGGATGTTTACTTTTAGCCACATCAGATGGTTCTACAATTGAAATGATTGAAGAAATAGGTCAGGATAACATGGTAAGTGCTAAACCACCACCGATACAAACATAATCAACAATATTAGTAGGATTATAAATCTGATCAGATTTCTTTCTGTTTCTGTTTGGTTCAACAGTGCATGAAGTTGTTGCATTGCGGGAGAAAGGACCCGCTCTTAAAGTTCCTCTTCAAGTTTTGCGTGTTGTAAGGTATTATATTCAATCATTTCCGTGTAGTTTATGGCTTTATCAATACTTTACATGTTAGTTTATCAGTAAAGGAAAGGAGATACAACCTTGCTTTTCTGGTAGAGTATGATTGAGTGGCATTGTGTTACTATTATGTATGTAGGATGATCCGAGACGGTCATTTTAGGTTAAAAGAGTATTTCAAATCTTTGTGCGACAAAATAGAGGGTGTGAATGACTATTTTCTACTTGGTGCGGATTTTGCAAGCTATCTAGAGGCCCAGGTAAATAGTTGGTTTTGCATGGGGGTGGAAAAGGGTTTTGCATTTTAATTGTGGCGTATGTTGAAATGAACAGGCAGCCGCTGATAAAGCGTTTGTTGATGAAGAGAGATGGACTAGAATGAGTATACTTAGTGCAGCTGGCTCTGGGAGATTTAGCAGTGATAGGACAATCCAAGAGTATGCTGAAAACGCCCTCACATGTGGTGTGGGATTGGTTTTACATATAAATCTACATTCAATAATATCGGTATGCTTTTGCTGTCCTTTTTGATACTCCTAGCTTTATGCTTTCCCTTGTAAAAGCTAATCACATTCATAATTCGTTGTATCGTATTCTTCGTTGATAGAATTGTTGATAGAATTTTACTTGTATCAACAGAACATTATTAAAAAAATGAAATTGTAAATAATGTTAATTTCAGAAACAATATATATTAGTGACTCTATTACTGATTGGCCCATTGCTGACAATTTTGATTGTGGACAATATCTAGTTCCGTAAATAGGGACGTGAATTGATTCGCAATAAGACTATTCCTTCCTTGACTGAGGTGTTTGAGGCCTTGCTAGAAGCCCTTCAAATACGTCACCTTCATTTCCCAAGGGCTAACTAATCAAAAATGGAAGAGTCGACATTGGAGCAAAAGCTCCATGCTTTAACCCACATCCTGACAAGCCCCACAACCTCACCACCTCTCCACTCTCAGCTCTTCATCTCCACACAAATTCCATGCTTCCTCAACTGGGATTTCCCTCCAATTCTCTGCAATAAACCCAACTCCCATGCCTTCCCTTCCCTCCACCTCAAATGGGGATTCTCTCTTTTCCTCAAAAGGATCTCAAGATTGGGTCTTCCCGAAACTTCCTGGAGGTCCAAGTGCCCTTACAGTCAGCCCCCACCGTTGATTCTGGCCAAGGGAGTGGATGAAGCTCAGTGGGAGCATGCGCAGAAGATGGAGTATGTTAGGAAGAGGCTAAAAAGGAAACGCCTTGGAAGCGATATCAATCCTTTGATTCCGATTTTGATTCCTGATGCATTATTGTTCTTTCTCCTCTTGTTCAACCCATTTCCTCTTATAGATGATTGACAAATTTCCTGTAATAATAACCACTAGATTCTTATGTTTTGTCGCTTTTGTTGGATCTCTTTATCTTCAATATGCTTCTCAAGCACACTATTATTTGGCGATTTTTCCGACAACTCACCTTTTAATACTTTATATACTTGACACATACTTTTTTTTATTTTTATTTATCGATCTATCATCCTTTGTATGTGGGGTAAGGGGTTCCCCTTGAAACGCATCTTATGCTAACATGGTTACACACTTGATAAGACGTGTCGCGCGCCTTATACACACTGGATAAGGCGTGCTGCGCGCCTTATGCCACGTAGTATAGTGCGGTGCAACTCCTTCCAATTATCAAATGCATAATGCAAGGCGCAGTGTAGGGGTCGCGCCTTGCATAATTTCATCTGAACTTCTCGACTTTAAAGCATCGTCTCTCCGCTATAAATACTCATTCCCCCTTAAACTCTCTCACAATTCCCTCTTAACCAAGAAACTACTACAATAATCCTTTCAACCAGTAAAAAACATCCGGCAATCCTTTTATATTTTATTCAGAAGTTCATTTGATCTTTCATTATAAGGTAAATTTTTGATAATATTTATTATAATTATATATGATTATTTGAAAAAAATATTGTATTAATTGTTTTCAATTAAGTTTTGTAGTTGTAAAATTGGAAAACGGGAGCATATGTCGAAATATTTTTGCCGATACGGTAATAATATAAAATTATATTATTTAAATTATTTACGTTTATATGTAAAATTATTTACGTTTATGTGTAAAAATTTTATTGTGTTATATTTTCGTTCATATATTATTTATTTAATTAGGTTTGTTTCAGTTTTTTTGCAGATATAATATTGTCGCACTTTCAAACTCTAAGAATGGCGCGAATTTCAGCTATATTTTATTATGATGGAAAAATTCGAGAAGATGAAACCTACGTTGTTTTCGTATCAAATCATTATGTTAAAATATCATTCAAGAGAAACATAACTCTTGAGGAGCTGATAACGAAGATTTCAAGGAATGTTCATGTTGGAAGTATTAGAAGAATGTTGTCGTTGCAATACAGATTTCCAACATCATTGTTGCCATTAACTTATACAGCGTTCGAACTATCGAACAATGATGACGTCGAAATGATGGTTGATTCTCAAAGTAATTATTCAGACGCCAATATTGAGATGTATGCAAAGTTTGTTCAAGTGCGTGCTGTTTGGGGTCTGTCATTAAGCTACCACTATGGGTTGGCTGAACAAGTTGATCAAGTTAACAGCCCGACTACAGTAATGTGTAATGATTTTAATGCCATAATGGGAAATCTGCATCATGTTGTCGTCTCATCAACTTCAATGGGGAGACATTCATCAGCAACTCCTTACGATCTGTACTGAGGTGGGTCCATGAACAATCCGTATAGCAACATCGAGACCAGTTCAAGGGGAAATGCATTCATCTGCAAATTTCTTTAACCTTAATATGGAGATGCCATCGACGCAACAATCTGTGTAGTTTCCATTTGACACGATAGCTTCAAGCTCCAGGGGAGGCATTTGACTGCGAGCTTTTTCGATCTTAATGTCGATATGCCTTCTAGTTCAAGGGGAATGCGTGCAAGTAGTAGGTTCTTCGACCTAAATGTGGAGAGCATGGATGAACCATCATTTCCACTAGAAGAACCGCTTCGTGAGCCAGGTGTGGATGGTGCTGAGACTAGACTATTCATTCACCCAGAATCACTGCAATTCAACTCCGATGATGATGATGATGTAGATGAAGTTCCCTCAAATGTGACACAAACTAACCCTCCAGTACATGTATGAAGCTGATTATGGTGCAATGTACGAGCCAAAATTTGCATATATGCTTAATCTCGGTGACTATGGATTTTACTCATCAATAAACAATGGTGAGTTATCTTTATGCATGGAGTTTTCAAGTAAAGAAGAAGCGATGATGGCTATAAAAAATTACAATATCCGTAATTCTGTTCAATCCAGAGTCGACCGCTCTATGCCAGAAAAGTATGTATGTCACTGTGTCCGACGTGAAAACGGATGCAATTGGATGGTTCGCGTATCGAAGAGGAAGAGGAAAAACAACATATGAGAACTAATAGTATACAACAGTCCTCACACAAGTTGTATTGGAGGGATCAACCAAGATCATCCCAACTTGGACTCTGAAGTGATCTATCAAGCCATCATGCCCATGGTAAAAGCGAGCTCCATATAGCTATTATTGTGTTGATTTCAGCTATACAATCACAGTATAGGTATTCCGTCTCATACAGAAAAGCATGGAAGGCAAAGCAGATGGCCATTAAAAAACTTCACGGCGAATGGGATGCATCTTACAATGAACTTCCAAGTTGGTTTAGGCTGGTGCAGAGGTTGAATCATGGGACAATTGTGGGCTTCGAAACCTCTCATGCATACCATAATGATCAAGTTCTTCACTGCAGACGGTGGCGACATCAGATATGGTTGTGGGGTGTAGGTCGCTGTAGACGGTGGTTGCTGTGAAGGTTCTGGTAGTGCAGCTGACTACGAACTGGAAGCACCTACTTTTCGTCCATGAGTCGGGGAACGATAGGGTTGTGACAATGCACGTCTCTATCGACGTCGCTGAAAACTTCGCCCTTGTGCATCCTCGGAAAGCATAAATGGTTTCCCGTTACTGTTGAACTACTCAAAATAATCATCTGCAACCGTCAAGAGGTCATCATAAATGGGCTCTCTATGAGGAAGACGCCGATGTCGATCCTCTCACATCACAACTCATTCTTGTTGCTTCACCAACCAATCTGTATCCGACTTGCCGCGTCGATCTGTGTTATGCAACTCGTCCATATTGTAAGGTTCTTCCGGAATTGGTTGTACAAAACCAAATTGCCGGAGCAAGCGATCAGTGTAGTGCCACTCGACAATCACATAGCATATCAAAGGGACCAACGCCATCTAAACATTTAATGGCCCCTCAACTCAGGTGGGATGCACATCATCATTAGAATATGGAACTCATTCAAACTAAAACAAATATATATAATTCTTATCAAAATAATAATCTATTTATATAAGTATAATACAAAATCGATTTTTAAACATTAAAATGCATACATCTGTGCCAACATTCTGATCAATTAGCACCCTCATTTTTTCTAAATCATCAGGTAGCTCCCGATGATTTTTCCTGTCAATAGACCACCTATTCAAGGAATTTTTTTTATTATACATTGGATAAAATGATTAATATACGAAACCAGTTTTATTATTTCCTCAATAGTAGTGTAAATACGAACGAGTTCTTCACAACAGGACATAAAAAAGGCAATCGATACTATGCCCAAGACTGCAGCAGAAAGAGACATCCGCCGATAGCATTTTTCCTGTAGTCAGTCGTTCGACACATCTCCCTATACAGGAATGCCAAAATTGTAACACCCCAACCCGTATCCGACCCGGATACGAGTCCGAGATGTCACATTGACATTTCAAAACCTTTATTCTTGCAAAATAACAGAACATTTAGATTTATATTAAGAAAATATGATCATATATGATTAAATTGTGTTTCATTATAAAAATTTAAGTCAAAAACGTTTTTATGAACAGTAATATACGGTATGAACATTACTGTGAATATTAATGAACAATACTGTGAACAGTACCGAATGTTAAAATTTTCCAAAATTGAACCATGGTACCGATACCCTGCTACAGTATATCGATACCCTTGCTACAGTAACTTTCGGCAATACATATAAAACTCACAAAACACTTAAACTTTCATTACTATAAGTTACTGTTTACATATATACGTTTAAAAATTACAAAACTTGTCAGAGCATATACCATTTAAAACATTAATTACATGCCAACTACTTTCACTATCCAAAATACAAATAATTCAAAATTCTTTTCTGATATAATCTTCGGTAAGAAGCAACTGACCTGTCTTGCTCCACGTTGCTCTTTATTCATCTCGAAACCTATGTGTAAAACAATCACACGCTAAGTCTACGACTTAGTGAGGCATATAAACATATAATGGAAATCATAAAACATTTCATATAACAAAATGTATACATGCACATATACCATCATTATCATGATCTCTATCATAATCATTAACTCATTTATCATATGATCTTGTACTTATCATTTCTGTATATCATGTATCCTTTCATATAATCAATTCACACATATACATATATCATTTCACAACAGATCACACATATCATCACATCAATTGATTTATTTACTCTATCAAAATCCCATGTATTAGCTCATGTATACTTTTGAGAACTTAAGGTATGTGAGTACATTGAGGTTGTACACTATTATACTGTCATCACAGCTCGTATAATTGTCCCGAATGACCTATCCAGAGGTCATAAAGAACCTTGGCAACTGTCTATAGGTCCCGAAGAACCTAGATAAACTGTCTAACATGTATATAAAATATTAAAAGGTGATTTTTCGTAAAAAATCTCCCTATTATTTAGCGTGCAAAATCTCAACGTAGAATATGT